CCCACCCAAAGACGAATTACAGTCCATCACCACACTAATGTGCCTAATCATCCCTTTTGCCCTCCTCCCTCCCCTTTTCCCCTCTGGTAACCACCAATACAATCTCTGTCTCTATGTGTTTGTTTATTGTTGTTTTCATCTTCTACTTATGAGTGAGATCATACGGTATTTGACTTTCTCCCTCTGACTTACTTCACTTAATATAATACCCTCAGGGTTCATCCATGTTGTCACAAATAGCTGGATTTTGTCATTTCTTATGGCTGAGTAGTATTCCATTGTGTATATATACCACATCTTCTTTATCCATTCGTCCCTTGATGGGCATTTAGGTTGCTTCCAAGCCTTGGCTATTGTGAATAATGCTGCAGTGAACACAAGGGTGCGTGTATCTTTATGCCTTGGTGTTTTCATGTTTTTTGGATAAATATCCAGCAGTGGAATAGCCGGATCATACGGTAGTTCTATTCTTAACTTTTTGAGGAATCTCCACACTGTTTTCCATAGTGGCTGCACCAGTTTGCACTCCCATCAGCAGTGTATGAGAGTTCCCTTCTCTCCACATCCTCTCCAAAACTTGTTGTTTCCTGTGTTGTTAATTATAGCTATTCTGACGGGCATGAGGTGATATCTCACTGTAGTTTTGATTTGCATTTCCCTGATAGTTAATGATGTTGATCATCTTTTCATATGCCTGTTGGCCATCTGTATATCTTCTTTAGAGAAATGTCTGTTCAGGTCTTTTGCCCATTTTTTAATTGGGTTGTTAGTTTTTTTATTGTTGAGATGTATGAGTTCTTCAGGCAGGGATTTTAAAGGAGCCATTCCAAGGTCCTAGCAAGTCTGTGTCACAAAAGTAGTGCTGCTGACCTAAAGGCAGAACTCTGAAAAACCTTACCTGCTATGGTCAACAGAAATCCAGAGAAGAAACCTGCTATAAGAGAACACCCTGGCCCGGATCAGGGGTTGAAACTCAAATGCCTGCTTAAATGAGGGAGAAGGACCAGAGGCAGACAACAGCGAGGGTCACTGGCCACCTGTAGGGTCTAAAAGCATTCATATTCAAAAATACTTGAAAAACACTGTGCTGGCCAAATAGAATATATTCGGGTGGGCCAGTTTCAGTCACTATTGTGTTTGTAACCCTGGCTGGGCATTCTGGAAGACTATGGCACCAACTCCAGCTTTGGCATTAAAGTCTCTACTCATGCAAAAAAAAAAAAAGAGTGTTGGCAAGTTGAATTTCAAGGTCCAGCAGAGAGGTGAGTGGGTTCCAAAACATTCAATAAGCCCCAAATGTTACAGGTGTGGGGTGTGCTGTGACCAGTCAGAGAGATAAGACTGAATGCTGACTCAGCTAAGGATTAAAAACAGCCTTAATACCAGGCTGGGGGACAGTTTTGGAGATTTAGATCTCTGTCTCTGAGTCAGCCGATACAGAAATAGCTAATCCTTCGCTTCCATAGCTTTACAGGAGAACCTGGAATTGTGGTGACACTCTCAGACGATGAGAGCGTGACTCATGGAACCAGGAGTCTAACAAGCAAAAAATGTTGAATTCTTGCTGGGAATTATAGAGTTCTGTCTTGTAAAGTTGGATTCTTTATCCCATGACGTTCCAAGGGAACACATTGGGCCTGTTAACTGGTATTTAGCCATGTGGTTCTCCAATTGAGTCATAAATCACCAGGAGAGCTTGTTAAAACCACAGAATCCCGGGCCCCACCCCCAGGAAGTTGACTTCAAGGGCTCTGTGGGGGGCCCAGTAATCTGCATTTACCAGGCTACTGGACAGGTGGTCCACAGGTCACACTTTGATAAACTCTAGTCTAGTGGATATTGTTATAGACACTCAATCTAGAATTGTAGCTGTCAAATCAGAGTCTGAATTATATCACTTATCCAAATCTCTGAGCCCAGCTTAGAGAATTCAACTGGCCTAAAAGAGAATATCATGTTTCTTTTGTTTATTCATTCACTCAATGAGCATTTATTAAGACTCTGCAGTCCCTACAGCTATATCTGTAGATAAGACAGATTTGAATCCCACTCCTTATAGAACTTACATTCCAGGGTCGGCCCCGTGGCTTAGTGGTTAGGTGCGCGCACTCCGCTGCTGGCGGCCCGGGAGCGCACCAATGCACCGCTTCTCCGGCCATGCTGAGGCCCACATACAGCAACTGGAAGGATGTGCAACTATGACATACAACTATCTACTGGAGCTTTGGGGGAAAAATAAATAAATAAAATTATTAAAAAAAAAAAAAAAAAGAACTTACATTCCAGTCAAGATCATTGGATGGAGCAAATAATTATTTTTTCTGTACAGAGAAGTCTGTTAGGATAGAAACATAGACTCTCTAAGGGTTGGGGGGGGATAGCAAATGTCCTTTAGTGTAACTACCATATGATACATCTCCTCTACAATATCCCTGCTCAGCATTTATCCACCCAATGTGTACTTAAATACTTCCAGGGACAGGGAGCTCACTCTCAGAATAAACCCATCCAATCCTCAAACATTAATTTTCCTTTCCTGAAACTTCTGCCCTTTAATCCTTGTTCTACTTTACAAGATATGCAGAACACGTTAACCCCTCTTCCCACAGAGAGGCATGCAAATATTCAAAAACCGTTTTCATCATTCTGTTAAGTTGTCCCTTCTCCATGGTGAAGACCCTGCCTTATGGCCTAGTTTGGGGTCTCCTCTCCATCCTGGTTACCATCATCCTCCAGGTGCATATCAGCCTGAGTCCTTTTTTTTCAAATACAAAGGTGGGATCCAATCAGTCAATCATTCATTTCTTTATTAAACACATGTGAGCCAGGTACTGTTCTAGGCTCTGAGGATAAAGCCCACAGAAGAGAATAACCTTCTTCACTCTGGATGTTGCCTTTCTGTCAATGTCACCGTGTTGAGTTACTGACTGATGGCAGAAGCTCAGCAGACCATATTTCATAGGGGTCTTCATGAACAAATCACCTTTTCTTACCTTCATTTACCTAAGTTTATTGCTAACTACCAATGAATTCCTTTCTTCTTTAATTTAAATGATATACTGCCAACTCCCAAACTTCTGAATTTTTTTCATTTCTAATTATATTTTCTTTCTCATATTTGATTCTCCCCCCTCACTTATATAAACCTGCTTTCCTGTATGCAGAGTGCTGAAGCTATTTGTAGCTCAGCTTTATTTCAGAACAGATCTGTCAATGGCTTGGAGAGACCATCTCATCTGACCCTTCGCTTTACACATCATTTCCTTCCATGAGAACTTCTGCCTGACCCTTTACCTTTCTTATGCCTCTTGAACTTAGTCTCATGACCTTCTTAGACATCTGTGTCCACCTCGTCCATTTCCTCCAGTGACCTGTAACATGTGCTTCCTGCCAGAGCCGCAGTGGTAAACAACTCCTGGTCGATTCAGTCAGCAACTCAGAGAGGAGCCGGAAATGCCCTCTCTAATAACTCCCCAAAGCAAGGATCCCCACCCACCACTTGATGGTGGACACACCCTACATTGCTGGGATCAAGCCGCAGACCTGGAGTCCCTCTACTGGGCTCTGAGAGCCACTGCACTTTACATTAGAAGGAATTACACTCGTGTTGAATTATTAGGAACACCCAAGAATGTCAGCAAACAAGATTCAAAGATCCCTATCTCACAAATGACAAAACTGGCCAAGAATTAGAATTTTGGAGACAAGAATAATCTCCAAGACCATCCAAATCACACCTCGTTGTTATTCAGATGAAGAAACTGGGACCCATACAGAGGATATGTTAGGGGCCAAGCAGGGAGAAGAACCCAGCGCTCCTTACTTCGGACCCACCCTCTCCCCACCATGCTTTTGCTCTAATTGTTCAACCTTATACCACTCCCCCTGTCGCTTAGCCAGTATTCCAGTCCTAGGGGTTCCAGGCAACAAACCATAATGGAAAATATATCCCAAAAACAAAGTCAGACAAACAAATGCCATCTGGGGTGCTCAGGAATCTAGCCATTTGCTGGCTCCTTTCCTTTTAGGGCTGGTTACAAGAGAAATGGCACCAGAGGGATAATATGTTCCTATTTTTCCTTCTAATCCAGGACACCTGTCCCTTCTTTGGGGAATGTGTAATATTTGGGGCTTCTTCTCAACATGTGACCAGCCACCTGTTGCTCATGCTCATGCCTTTCCAAATTGGCCTCTCGGGTTTGGGGCCAGCCAACTGGACCCCCACCCCCACCCCCCTGCCACAGTAAATGTGGGCATTTGCAATATCCTAAATTTGAAGAGTCTGGAGTCTCTTAGGAATTAGCAGGTCAAGACAGTGCTCTCAAGCAGAATATACACCATGACACTGCCTCCCCTTAAATGTGATAGCTCTGGTAGACTGTCATGAGTCTTTGAAGAGAAAGAAGGCTGGAGGTCAGCATGGTCTGTCACTTTATTTCACCTCCACTGCCATTCATTCATTCAACAAATATTTATTGACCACCTGCCATGTGTCACTCACTGCCAATCGTCCACTCATCTATTCACCCCACAAACATGTACGAGGCCTCTGCTGAGAGCAAGGGCCCATACTGGATGCTGTGGGAGATCCAGGAATGAATAAAACTCAACCCCTGCCCAGAGGAACTCCTACTTTAGTCGTGATGATAAATCCACAAGCTACTGTGATTTACGATCATATGTGTTGAGAGAGATGCAAAAAACTATGGATCGCAGAGGAGAGAGAAGTCACTCCCAGCTGGCAGGTAAGAAAGTTTGCAAGATGATGCCGTGTGAGACCTGGACCTTCAGGAATGGGTAGGATTTGGACAGGCAGAAAGAGTGCTTGGGTAGTTGAATTGATGTAGCAGCAGAGAGCCGGGAAAACCAGTGGGTCCTCCTGGCTGCTGTGTCGGCACGTATGCTGCAGAGGGAGTAAGTGGAGGTGGAGGATAGGGAGAGACTCCGAAAGCTGGTAGGTGTGAAAGGTCTGAGCCTTTGCTATTTTCCTGGCCCCTTAGGTTCTGAGGTTTGGCACCCCATCTGCAAACAGGCAGCCCGGGCAGAGAAGAAGTTAAAGGTAAGCAAGCTGGTAGCGGTACCAGACCAGCTACTTTTTGCCACAGATCAGGGGCACTGTGCTTTAGTGGAGAGTCATTCCTTAGTGTGCGCACTTCCAAATGTGAGCCTGTATCCTTCAATTTCCTTGAAGGGAACACTTGCCTCCTGGGGCTTTTGAGGGGATAAAGACATTGGATGTGAGAGCACTTTGAAAACTGTAAAGCACTATATTCATGTGAGTTTTTAGTGTTTCTGGGGTGAGGCTATGCTCTCACCATTGCTTACCCAGATGGCGGCCTCTCTGAGGTGTTCATGCCATGGTTTTTCCCCAGCCTAAGGTTGTTTATTAATAATAATAGTTAACATTGTCACAGGAATTGACAGTTTGCAAAGCAACTTCACAGCCACTGTCTGATTTGATTTCTTTAACCCCACGGGGCAGATAGGGCAAGGAATTTTATCTTCTCTTTGCTTGTGAGAAAACCAAGGTCTAAAGAGGGTGGTGATTTGCCCACGGTCATGAAGCGGGCGGAAGCACTGGACCAGCTGCGGTCCTTCGTCCCTCTGAATTACTATACTCTGACAAGTACCAGGAAGCCCTGTGAAGCTGGGTTCTCAATCCAAGGATGGCAGGGAGGGGCACAGCTCCTAGGTCCTTGATGCTGTGGAGGGGAGACCTGGGGTGTGCGCTGGGGGCCACTCGCTGATTTCCAAAGTGCCTCTATACTCTGGCCCGGGATATCAACTTGGCCCCTTAGGACTGTATTAAAAGTTACCTGCCAGAGTCTCAACTAAAAACACACCTGTGCCATTTCTGACCAGCTGGTTAAACGTTGTCTCCTTTGCCATCTCATCCACCTAATGGAAGTTTTGCCAAAGAGCTGGTTTATTAATGTATAATTTTTTTGAGCTGTGAGTTTTTTTCTGTTTCTTCCAAGGCCTCTCCTATTTAAGGTGTAAGGAGACCTATTGTCCTTTTCTTCCTCAATTTTCTCCTTTTTGGTGGCATTTCTCAAGTTTCAGTTATCCTTCTACAACCCTGATTGTTTTGGCTATTTCTGTGTGCCACCTGTATCGTTACATACTTACTATTTTTCTTTAAATGAACTCATGACTTTTTACTTAACTAAACTAATTTTAAAATAAAACTTTATATCACCAAGTGGAAAATCAGTATTACTTGCTATAAATAGAAAGTAACCATAAAATATATTCAATGAAAATAGAATAATTCTTAAGAATAAATCTTAGAAATTCTAGCTAGATCATGTTGCCTGCACTCTGTTAAAAAAAGGGAAATTAGCAAATGGTGAGAAAGTTGCTGAAATGTATTAGCACCAAATTAAGACTTCCTCCTTGATCTAACCAAGAGGATTGAAATAGAATTTTACATTTTACTCTCTCATTCTCCCGCTCAGTATTATCAAACGTTCCACCTAAATTCATCTTCCCAGAGCCACACTAGATCACGATCCACAGTTTGGAAAATACTGCTATACAGCCCCACTTAGAATGCCTTAAATTATAGGATGAGAGGTCTGGAAGGGAATTTAGCAGTCTTTAAGACCAGTCCCTTCATTTTACAGATCAGGAAGCCAAGATCCCTAAAATCGTAGTTCACTAGTGGTCCTTGGTTCCCAATCTGTTTACTTTTTAACCACGACATCCTGCCACTCTCTTAGATGCTCGAAGATTGACGTAGTGTCTGCTGAGGGAGCCATTTCCATCATTGCCATTGTTCAGAAAAAGATTTTTTAAGTTTGTCACTTAGGTTGAAGTCAATTTGCAATGGATACACTCTAAAGAATGCAATTACATGAAGTTTAACCTACTTTTACATTTTTTGTAAACAAACTGCTAAGGAATGAGTATTAACCAATTTTATTCATTTAAAGTAAATACATCATTAACTGAGATAACCCAAAATGAAGAGTTTTATGAGTAACTTCGTATCTAAAAGGCCAATTACAAATATGTAAAACACAAATCCATGTTCTATCCAACAACCCAAAGTCCTGTGCATTTTGGATTTCATTCACACTAGATATTAATTAAAAAGGCAGAAAATAAAGAGAAAGTACAGAAATAACCAGAGAGTGCTTTTAACAGTATTGCTAATGTTCCCTGAAGAGCTGGTTCTTATACTCCCATCTCCTCCTCCCCACGAAGTTGGAGTGCAGCTTCTCACCCCTCCGTCTCCATCTCTCCCACAGCATAGGCGGACGTCCGAAACTTCCATCTCACCCCCTGGATCCAGCATTGGGTCACCCAACCGAGTCATCTGCGTATGTATTACTTTTAGTCACCAAAAGGCCTTTCTTATCCCCTAGCCTGGTATCTAAAGAGTTTCTAAGGACAGTCAAAGAGATCTGTCAAGTTTTCATCCAAATGGTGTCTGGTGTGTGCCTGTCATGTGCTAGGTCTGTGCTAGGTCCTGAGGATGCAGTAGGGTACAGGGAGGACGTGGACCCTGCCCTTATGGAGCACACAGCCTAGTAAACAGAGTCACAGGGATAATATCATTCAATGGGAGCAGGAGAAGAAAAGTGCAGTGACAGCAAGAGTCCTTGACAAGCTCTGAAACCATGCAGTGTGCCTCCTTCCCCATTATTTAACTGAGACAAGGGCAGGATAAAAATTTGGGATCAGAGTGGTATTCAGAGTGGGTATTGGGTAGGACGTCGCTGTGGAGATAGTGGTGTGTGATAAAGAGGCAGAAATGAGGAGGAAGCCATATGACTGTGGAAACATGGCCATAAAGGATTTGCAAGCATAAAGAAGAGCTTCCTAATCAGGTGAGAAGTCCAGGGATGGAGTAGACCATGTGCATGTGTCTGAGCTCCCATCCCCAGGGCATTCAAACACAGAGACACTCATCATTTGCAGGGATGTGGCAGAAGGGACAAGAGTTAAGTTAGATGACCTCAGAGGTCCCTTGGATATGTGATTCATTCATTCATTCATTCAACAAATGCATGCTGTGTGTCTACTCTGTGCTAAGTGCTGGGCTCTGTGCTGGGGAACAGGAGGTAAACTGCACCGACCTGCTGCTTGTCCTCCTAACATTGAATACATAACTCCATGGAAAATCAGCTGCAGTTCTGATAAGTGCTAAGAAGAAAAAGTGCAGGGTGCTCTGATGATGCTACGGATGAACAGAGGGACTTGACAGTCTAGGACCAGTTGGGAGAAGAATCCTGAGGAAGAAACATTTAAGCTCAAACCTGAGACATAAACAGAAGTAAGCTGAAGAAGGTGGGGGAGGCAGAGCCAGGGAGGACTGAGATGAGCAGAGGAGGAACTGACAGTAAGCAAACCTCAATCTGACTGACTCTGGACTGTTCCAGCCTTCCTCAAGTCAAAGGAGCCAAGAAGACCAGAAATGTGGGGGAAATGGTCTAGAGCAGGAAATCCATTCCTAATAAAAAGCTCTAGATGTAGTCTCCAAACCAGCCAGCCCTGGGTGGCCCTGACCACCATTGCTAGATAATTATTTTACTCCAAATCCGCATCCAGTTTCCTCCTTAATCCCTGGGTAATGCCCATTGATGGAACAGTTTCCTTTCCTTTCTTCCTCTGTTCAAATGAAAAAAAGACATAAGAGTTACTGTTGACTGCAACTTCAATATGGGTCAATACTGCCATGTGGCTCCCACAAAAGACAAGCAACTTTGATCACAGGCTGTACTCATTGAAGATTCCATTCCAGAACAAGATAGATAGTCCCCCTGATGCTACGAACAGAGCCAGACCACAGCAGGATTAATGAGCTTAGTTTCAAGGCCTACACCGTGAGAAGGTTATTGACAACCGTGAGCATGTCTCCAGAAGGGAGTTACCAGGATATGCAAGCTCAGGATATATACAGCTGCCCTGTATGCCTTTAATGCCTAGCTGGTCTCCCCTGCTACTGAGGAGCCTCGCTAACCTTTGTGAAATAAGTGAGGCCCTGATGTTCACCCTGGAGTGCTGGAGAAAAATGAAGGAGCAGCTCGAATACAGATGAACAAGAGCAGTCGGGGACACCTGCCATCGTTCCCTCCAGCTGGGGCTTATCCCCTGAGATCAGTTACCCCTCGCAACCCAGCATAGGCTTGTGTCTCCTCTTCTCTTCCGCCCTGCTCTCCCCTCAGTGGCGCCCCACCTCCGGCTGCTCTGGCGTATGACTGCACCTGTCACGTGAGCCATATTTTAAGTCACACCATTCCAAATGTGGCTTCCAAATTCAGGAAAGAATCCACCCAACCACTTTTGGGACACGCAATAACAGACAGAAACATACAGTATTGGTTTAATTTTCATAAATACTGAGGTTTGGTATGAAAATAGAATTATCAGTGAACCTGGAAGGGGCAGGTTCTTTCAAACTTGGCTCCATCCCCTACTGAATCATCTTGACTTCGACCAGCCCCACATGTTCTCTTCCTTCCTTCCTGGCTGATTATGGTAGGATGCCTCTGTTCAATCACTGCGCCTCCAGACCTAAGGTTTGTTTATAACCCTGTAAACAAGGCAGCTATGGGAAGAAATATAAATTTAGTATTTTTGAGGTTTAGAATCAAGTGCCAAGATGAATACTGATGGGTCGAGACAAGTTCTAAAGATCCCAAGAGCTCTCAAGGTCAAGATCTAACAACCCAGGACAAAAGTCAGCAGTGACTTCAGCAGGTGGACTGTCCTAATAAGGTCTGCTTTACCCACACACCCCAAAATTGATACAGATGTGGGCATCTGACCTGGACAGGCTCTGGCAGAAATGAGATGGCACACCTCAAAGGGTTTAACTGAGGAGGGTTTGGGGAAGGGACCATTTATAGAGGTGTGGGCAGGGTTAGGGGGCCCACAAGACATAATGTGGCATCCAGGGACTACAACAGCAGGAAGTTGTCACCACCCTAGGCCTAAAGGGAACAGCTGGCAAGAGCTGGAGCTGTGAAAGAGCAGCCCCAGATGGATGGGTGCCGTGCCCACGACGGCCGGGCAGGGCAGGTGCAGGGGGCACAAGTACACAGCCTCTCTCTTCACTCACCCCCAGTCTGCAGGTGCCCCCATTGGCCAAACCCATCTGTAAGCCAGGGAGCCTGTGACACAGTCCATGGGGCCTCAGAGCCCAGATCAGGGCAAAGAAGAGTGGACAGTGGGTCGAGGGGCAATGGAGAATGAACAGCACGGTGCCCAAACAGCAGTGGGATGGGACAGGGATGGAAGAGTGGAAAGACCTTGGGAAGTGTTTCAAATATCAACACTTATGAGGTCTTTATGAAAGTTGCTCTCTCTACAGTAGTCTTGGCCCTGAGACTTACCTGGCCCCTGAGGCACTGGGACAATATTAGGAGGAAAATACAGTCTCCCTGGATTCTCTATCCAGTGGCCTCTCTCTTAATTTACCTCACCTCAGGACCTTGTAAGCCACAGTAGTTACAGGGGCTGCAGATCCTGGCTGACCATAGCAGACACCAGGTGAACAGAAACAGAGGGATCAGCTGGAGGATGCAGACACGGAGAGGACATGGCTTCAGGAGCCACGAGACGTGGGCTGTCCCGTGCAAGGGGAAGCTGTCTTCTCATCCTTGCAGTTCTAGAGGGCTGAACTCAGGCAAAGTCAGGTAGTAGTAAGAGGCTTGTTTCAGTTTGATATAAGGAGCAGCTTTCTGCGTTCAGCCCTCTGACAATGTCAGACAGTGAACTCCCCGTCTTGGGATGCCAGGAGAGGCCACTGGTGAGGGCAGGCTCCCAGGTTAGACTGGCTGGGTTTGAATTCTAGTTTTGCTACTTATTAGCTGTGTGACTTTGAGTGATTTAATTGATTTCTCTGTGCCTGTTTCCTTATTCAAAAATGAGGATAATATTAGTACCTACTGTTAGAGTCGTGAGTTGTATAGGTTAATGGAGTTAATCCATATAAGGGACTTAGGACGGAGTCTGGCTCATACTAAGTGCCCACCAGATGTTAGCTAGTGTTTTACTATCACGATTAATTCTGTCTTTCCCATGTTCATCATCTTCTTCAATGATGCTGTGAATGGGGTGTCCTCATTCTGTGGGGTTGGAAGGCAGTCAGCACCCAGGCTGTGTAGTACAGACTGGATTCAAACCTGCTAGCTAAGTGATGCAAGTTGCAGAACCTTTTGAGCCTCATTTTCCTCGTCTGAAAACTAGGAATAACACTGACACTTCACAGAGGCCTCATGACATTTACAGGGGATAGTTCCTGTAAGCACAGGGCCTCACACCTGATAGGTGCTCAGTCAACGTTAGCCCTGTTGGAACGGATGGCCTCTAAGACCTGTCTTATTCTAACACTTGTGAGTCTTCTGTCCTGAGAGTTTGTTTTTAGTGGAAACTGGAGAAACTCGTTCCCCCTTTGCCTGCTTTTTGTTTCCTCTCTCCTTCCCTCTTATCTTTCTGCTTCTTTCCTGTCCATTGCCCTCTTCCCCAGGCTAAAGTGGATAATGAGATCCTTAATTACAAAGACCTGGCAGCTCTCCCCAAGGTCAAATCCATCTACGAGGTACAACGCCCCGACCTCATTTCCTACGAGCCTCATTCCAGATACACGTCCGACGAGCTGCTGGAGAGATGTGGCTACGGAGAGGTATGGCATCTCGCCTCTCTCTGGGGCTGCTGGAGGAGAGGGGGGCCCGTGGGGTCTCCAGCCCTCTCCATCTCAGACACTTTAGCCTCCACAGTGTTGGCCTCAACACTCTTTTAAACTGGAATTTATAGTCAACTTTTAAAGATCAAGAGACTCCCTCTGAAAATCTGACTTTTCTTGAAAAATCAGAGCTGGCGACCCTATACCGGTATTTCCACCATCTGGAGATGGGGAGCAGGGCCTCCTACAGGCAGGACATGGGCTCTCCACTTCTCCCAGTCCCCACCACTCCATGAGGACCCCAACATCGAAGCCAAGAACCTGTGACCACTTATCCCTGGAGCTGCTGTTTTTCTGCAAGTGGAGAAATTTTGTACATAGCCCACGGCCCTCCTCCCCTGCCGGGCTCGATGACCATGTGGTTTATAATCCCTGGTTAGGTAGGGTCTCTGGTTTCTGCACCTGGCCTTAAGCTCCTCTGCTCAGAGCAAGAGATACTTTTATAAAATTGCAGCATCAGATGCCATTTGAAATCAGTAAGAGGTTGCTGCACAAAAGAAAGTGTTCTCCAGTGAGGGCAGGGTGGCCACTACACTGGAGGTCCTGGCAGTCTGTATCCCAGAAGATTTCTCACTCCATCCCAGGCCCCTTGAACTGAGATCATTTGGAGCAAAAGGAGCCCTGGCCTGGGGGGCAGGGACCCAGGTTCTTGTCCCTGCCCCATCACTGTCCCCCTCCTCTCTAATGGGGTTCCATTTTCTTTGAGAGCCCAATGTTGAGATTCTCTGGGTTCTGGCCTCTGAAATGGACCAGCAGGGTCCATTAGAGGCCCACAGACCACAGCCAGCCCCCAGATGTGTTTTGTTTCACTCACAGAGTATCTTGTAAAAATGTAAATGAGTTGTCAACATTTAAACATTGGGAGATTTCACATAAGAATCTGCATTTCTGACTTGTCTTGGACACTCAAGAAGCTGTGTTAACGTTGGGCCGTTCCAGCCTGGCCTTGACCTGCTGGGGCCGAGCAGCCACTGCCCTCTGTAGACGGCACGTTCCATCTCCGCTGCACCACCCACCGGCCCAACTCCCTCGGGGATGGCAGCGGCCTGGCCCTTGGTTGGCCCTACCTTTGGTCCCCTGTTCTGGGCACTGTCCTCATGAACCGCAGAGGTCATCAACAGGGAGAGGGACAGGGAAAGGTCGTGAAAGCCCTGAGCTTGCGGTGGAGAAGCCTGGGTCCAAGTGAGGACCCCACCACCTCCTCCCGGAGAGGCCCCGAGCCATCCTGTTCCCTCTCTGGGTCCTGGTTTTCCCATCTGTAAAAGGAGGACATAATCTCAGGTTTCCAGCTGCCTATCAGCACTGCTGATATTCTGGAACTCTGAGCGAAGCTGTTACCTGGAGAGGGAGGCCAAGGGGCACCTGCAGGGCTCTCTTTCTGAATCATTTAACCACTCTCCACCCCTCCCTCTCGCCCTCCTCTCTCTCCTTCTGCTCCTTCCACGACTGTCTTCAAACTCTTCACCTTTAAGTCGCTGGGAACATTATCTCCTTACTCCCAGGTAATGAAGCTGGTTTGGGGAGACCTTTTATATAATTGCGGCCCTTTATGTTGACCAAACAGACCCCTGATTTTACCCTCCCTCACCCACCAAGGGGCCAAGCCCTTGCCCAACCAGGGAGAGACGGGGAAACTTAGGAGCATGACCTGGAGGACGTGGCGGTGGCATAAAGGCTAGAAATGGTTGGGGGAGAAGCTGGTGTACCTTTCTACCCAGAAATGGCCTCCCTAATGCCTCTGTGATCCTTGGCCAGGATTCCAGGGACCTGATCCACTGGTTCCATTCAAGGGCCTGTGAGTGATGGCTAAGTCCCTGAAAATTCTCTGAAGCCTTCCTCAGGCTGTGCCTGTAACCCAGGAAGGGTCTCTGTATTCAGAAGGGCAGCACCATGCCTCAGCCCCTAGAATCCTGGATCCCCTGTCACTCCCCCTCATGCCTGCTAGACCCTTGGGCCACAGGCCCGCCCAGTTGCTGGCCTTGTTCACAGCCCCGCTTCCTCCCCCAGGACATCTACGAAAACCTGGACCTCCGGCAGAGACGGGCCTCCAGCCCGGGATACATCGACTCCCCCACCTACAGCCGGCAGGGCATGTCCCCCACCTTCTCCCGCTCGCCTCACCACTACTACCGCTCTGGTAAGGAAAGGGGAAGCCCCCAAAGGGACAGGAAAAACCAGGGGACAAGGCAGTGGCTTGATGTCCCTGGCTGCAGAGGCAGCACAGGGCTTCCCCGGGATCTCCGTCACAGTATGGCCCTGTGGAGGCCTATGGCCACTCAGGTGACCGGCTGTGCCTCACTGAGTCCCTGAAGATGCCCCTGGCAGGGGAAGAGGAGGGTATGTGGTCCTGAGAAGCATCAGGAAGGTGGGTGGTGAGCACAGGAGAGGGGAGTGGCAGGCAGCCCTGTGGCCCTGGCTGGAAGACCCCTCTGTCCGCATCCTTTGGCCTGCCCCATCCAGAGGACCAGGAACGGGGCTGTGGCCTGGCCTTCACCCGAGGGCCCAGCCCGACCCAGTCCAGTCGGGTTGTCCACAGCTGAGCTGAGGTTGGGGTGAAGCAGGCAGAGCAATTAAGGGAGGGGCCCCAGTGGGAAGGGGCGGGGAGCTAAGAAGGGCAAGACGCCTTTCTGAGGCTTGGTGGAGTTGATTCTTACAACCCACAACATCTGACTTTGGGGTGGAGCAAGAAAACAGGGTCAAGCCTGTTTCTGCAGATGCGGCGCATGCGAGCACAGCCCCTCCCCACCATCCCTGCTGTCATCACCTCACTGCTGCCTTGACCGCCACCGCGTTAATGCCTGTTTTCTCTGTGCCTCTGTTCTCTCTGGGGACCACTGCCTGCGTGCTCCAGGGCCCGAGAGTGGCCGGAGCTCTCCATACCATAGCCAGTTAGATGTGAGGTCCTCCACTCCGACCTCTTACCAGGCTCCCAAGCACTTTCACATCCCAGGTAGGCTGCCAGCCTGGAATTCCCAGCGTGGGTGCATGCTCCGTGGGGTCACCGGGCACCCTGCACCGGCATCAAGGAGAAGCCAGTTCCTGGGGACCCTCCCTAACCAGTCACCCACACTAACCTACCCTCCAGTCCCGACACGCCCGTGGGCTATAGTCCACCCATTTACAGACCCAGTGCTGATCATGACCACCAGGAAGCAGCCCAGGAAAGTGCCTCAAATGTCTGAGGGCCATGATGGGACGCGGCAGTAACCATGCTGAGGGCCACGGGCTTTTCATCAAAACTCTCGGGATTGAATCTCGATTCCACCGCTTATAAGCTCGTGACCTCGGGCCAGTTATTTTGCTTCCCTGAGCCTCTGTTGTTCCCTCTGTACAGCCAGGCACTGTTCTGGGCCCCGAGGTTGCAGATGTGCTCAGACCAGCCCAAATCCTGCCTTCATGGTGTTTATGTTTTAATGTGAGGAGAGAGAGAATAAATGAGTACACAAATAAGTAAAGGGATAATTCAGGTAATGATAGGGGCTTTAAACATAATAAAACAGAGTCTCATGGTAGAGTGACTGGGGTGGGGGAGGCTGGGCTAGGTGGAGTGGTCAGGAAGGGCTTCTTGGAGGAGGTGACACTGAAGCCAAAAGATGAGAAGGAGCCCACCATGGGAAGATCCCAGGGAAAAACATCCTGGGCAGAGAGAACAGCAAGTGCAAAGGCCCTGAAACACTAAACTAGCCAGGCAGGCCAGCATGGCTGGAGGAGGTGAGCATGAGGGAGAGTGATAGGAGATGAGAGGAAGGCAGGGACTAGGTGGCCTTGTAGGTGGGGATTGGACAAGGTCTCCCCCTGAGTTCCAGCAGGGCCAGGCCCAGAACCCAGTCTCCCCGCTCTGAGCTCAGGGTGTCAACCTTCACTCACGCGTCCCCGGAGCTCCTGCTGCTGTTGCATCTGTACCTTTCTCACCCACCCAGAAAGGTCCCATCCTGTCTGTTTTTGAGGGAAGGGGAGGGCAATAATGCTGAACTGTGGCCACAGCATTCTGGGGACTTGCACGTGGAATGAGGCGTGGCCGCTGGGTGGAGGCAGGGGACACCTTCCCGCATGGGATCCTGCTGAGCACGCGCCCGCCTTGTGCCTGCACGCCCGCCATTCAAGCCCCAGGTCCCTTCCTCAGCGACATTTGAATCCATTCCTCTCCCCTCACCTTTCTTGGAACCTGATGGGATGAGGTTGGAAGTTCAGTTTTGGAAGAGGAAGTCCACCGGGGGAAAGAGGGGGACCCTTGGGAAACGTTGCTGACTGTCTTCTCTTCTGAGATCAAGTGACCGACTGCTGTCTCGTTTTCTCTGGTCTCTCTCTCTCTCTCCTCCCCACTGTCCCTCCCTGGTCTGTCTGGCAGCTGGAGAAAGTAACATCTACCGGAAACCCCCGATCTACAAACGGCATGGTACGGTCGGGGGCAGAGAGGGCTTGGCCAGGCAAGGGGAGGGGGCAGTTAACAGTCTGTGCAGATGGCTCTGCACGGGCCACCAGGAGGGACACGCACAAGGCTGCAACTTGGTCCTTCTTCTTGGCTGCCCTCCAATCACTCAAGGTGACATTGGGAAGGAGTTTGGTGTCATTTCAAAAGAGCAAGGAAGACCTCGTGTCCTCTAAATGCTTTCCCACCTCCTCCCCAGCCCCCCTTCCCTGCTGTCTGGTGTCCTAAATCCCATGGTCAGAGCAACCCTGGTCAAATGCACGTACCCCTGGGAGAGTCGCACTCCTGGCATTGATACTCAAACATTGACATTCATTAGAGTCACCTGGGATGCATACGGATTCCTGGGCCCCATCCCAGACTTACTATATCAAAAATTTGTATTTGCAACAGTTTCTCCAGATGATTCCAATGCCCAGCCCAGCTTGGGAACCACTGCTCTAAGCTATTCTCAGTCATAGGGTCCTGAGAGTAGATGGAGGCCTGGAGAGGGAGTGTGGATGAGAAAGGAGGAGGACGTCAATGAGAGTGCCTTCATTCATTCATTTATTTATTCATTCATTAAAGAATGGTCTATGGACCGCCTGCACCTGAAAGACTTATTAAAAAAACAGAGGCCCTGGCCCTTCCCTTGCCCTAGACTTCCTTAATTAGAAATATGGAGAGTGTGGCCCACAAATCTGCGCTGTAACCGGCTTCATTCATGATTCCTGCCTGCACTCTGTACAAGAACCACCATTCATTCATCCATCACTGAGACCTCCAGTTCGTTCTCACAAAAGCACTTACTGAGTCTCAGTTGACCAAGCACATCCCTTCTATTGGGGCTGCAGGGGCCCAGCTGCCACCCCGTATCACCCGCACGTGCCTACGGGTCTAGTTGGATAACAGGGGAGCACAGACTGGATGAGCATGGAGATGGCGGAAGCAGCCCTGTCCCGGGATCTGAACTTGCTGAGCTGATGGAAGGGGCAGTACAAGTATAAATAGTGGCTCTGGCTGCTTAAGACCTGACAATTTAGACAAAAGTCTTCGATTTTGAAGGGGGCTGGGCTGGGGTCCAGGTGAGTCTCTGAGCATGTACACATCTGTGTGTGGCTGTGGAGGACAGGCCATGTGCCCCGAGTGGCCACAGAAAGACACCAACCCTGACAAAGGTAGTTTGTCCATAAAAGGCCCCAAAGTCCCAAGTGCCTCAGGACTGCGTGAGATTTTCCAGGTCGGCTCTGAGGGGCAGCACCAGGCTCGGGGCGAGTGTGGGGTGGAGGTGGATTGCATGGATAAGAGGGCCGATGAAAGGGCTGAATGACCTTGGCTGGGGTGGGAATGGCTGCCCAGGACCCACGTCAAAGAGGATTCACAAGCTTTGGAAGTAAGTGCTGCTGGGGGAGGGTGCACAGGCGTGGGCTGGCTGGGGCCCATCCCAGGACCCTCTGCTGCTCCCGCTGTGTGGAGCAGAGGGGTTGTCCCTATAGCTTCTCTCCTGAGAAGTGATGGCAAGGCCCTGCTCATTTCCTCAGCCCTCCTCTGCCCTAGTCAGCCTCTTGTCAGTCTCTGGGCCATGCTAAAGTCACTGCCTGGGAAGTTTGTGTGCCTGCGATGGGTTTGATGGTCCGTGTTGTGGACTTCAGGTGGAAGGTTGTAGCTGGATGGCACCCGAGCCAGCAGACCAATTCTAGTACTCACAGATGAGGAAACTGAGGCAGAGAGGGGCAGGATTTGCCCAGTGTTACAACTGAGTTAAGTGGCAGAGCTGGAACCCAGCATTGCTGACTCCCTGTCCAGTGCTCCTTCCTTTGGGCCATACAGTCTCCCCAAGCAGAATTTGTCATTTCAGTGTGAGCAGAAGGTTGACCTGACTCAACATGCATCACAGCCTTGCTTGGCAATTCCCACCCTAGATGTGGCTTGAATCCACAGCAAGGCCAGCTTCTAGAGGGTGAGGATAAGGACAGGAGCTCACCTGGGACCCGTCTGATCTACTTGGAGGAGCTGTGGCCTTTGTGTTCACTTAGGAGCCCACCTGAGAGTCCATGGAATGTGGTGGAAGGAGCCCTGAGCTGGGTACTGGTCCAGTTCTCGCCTGACTTGCTGTGTGGTCTTGAGCAAGCTCCTTTCCCTCTCTGGCGTTCATATTCCCATTTGTCAAATGAGGGGCTTGACCCCAGTGCCTTTCCAGCTTCGATGCTCCATGTCCCAGACCTGGCCTCGAAGTGATCTCACTCCCCAGGGCTGGAGCCCGGCTGAGACAGGGGAAAGAGTGTACAGGACACTCTTCAAGGACACCCTGCCCCCCTGAAGCTCTCTCCTTGGGTCCTTTACAGGTGATTTGTCAACAGCAACCAAGAGCAAAACAAGTGAAGACATCAGCCAGGCCTCCAAGTACAGTCCAGTCTACTCGCCAGACCCCTACTACGCTGCAGAGTCTGACTACTGGACCTATCATGGGTCCCCCAAAGGTAGCACACCCCACACAGGAGCCAGGGCCAGATCCCTGTCACCTGTGCCAGGAACAGACAGTCACCCCCTCCTTCACATGATCATTCATTTGTTCATTCAACAAACATGTACTGAGGGCCAGCCGTGGACCCTAGGGAGCAAAAGAGGCCAGGTCCTTGCCTTATGGAAGAGACATAAGTCCCAACTGGAGAGGGAGGTGATATACAGGAGGTGGCACACAGGAGGTAGGAGAGCCAATGGTGGGGGCATGCTATCCAGCCTGAAAGATGACAGAATCTTCTCAGACACAGAGACTCAGCCACCATAGGAAGGGTGAGGAGGAGTTAAGCCACCAGAGTGTAGAAATGCACATGCAAAGACCCAAGATGGGAGCGCGGGTTCCGCTGGAGAGAAGGAAAGTCTGTCAGCTTAGCCTTGAGCTCACAGAGGGAGAGAAGCAGGTGGGGTGAGGGGCCAGATCCCACAGCGCCTTGGGTTGAGGTGAGGATTTGGGTCTTTATCCTAAACACTAGGAAGCCATTCAAGGTGGTGACATGATCAGATTTGTGTTTTTAAGAGACCACTTCAGCTGTAGGGTAGAAAATGGTTTTGGAGGATGGAAAAAAGAGGATGTGGGGAGATGGAAGGCTCTCGTAGGCACCCTGATAAGGGGTCTGGGTGCTCCTCAAGGCACCATCCCACCCAGTCAGACATCCCAAGCTGTTTCTTTCAACTATGGGGAGGAATTTTCATCAAGTGCCACTTTGATTCACACACACCTTTACTAACTGAATGTCCACTCTGAGCAAAGCTTCACGGGATCTCAAAGATGACCCCTTCTTTTCCCTCACAGAATTCTCCGTTTAGTAAAGGAGCTGAGACACAAGCACAGCTCTAACCCAAAGTGGACAGTGCTCAGTGCCCACAAGAGAGAAGTGTTCAGAGGTGGCACAAGCAGGAGAGACCACGCCCAGTAGGCATGGGGGAGAGGGGGATCTTAGAGAAGCTCGTGCCAATCACAAAATAACAAACCAAAAAAACCAACTCCAAATGGTTAAGCCAAAACAGATTTTCTGGGTGATGTGACTGAAAGTGTTTGAGATATAGCTGGATCTAGAGGTGAATGAACGTCATTGGGACTTGTCCTATCCCCTGGGGTGGCTCAGCTAGTCTCAGGCTGGCTCTGCCCTCATCACGGCAGGATGAGCTGCAGCAGGTCCAGGCTTACATACTCCCCTTGGCAGAAAGAAGACTTCTCTCTCCCTCCTGCAGCAGAAAAAGTCCCAACACTGAGGCTCTTAACTCTGTTTGGCCAGTCAGCTTCCCCTGCCCCTCACGGCCCCAGAATGGAAAGGGATGCTGGGCGTCTCCATCCAGGGAGGCCCATGGTGGAGGCAGTTTACCAAAGTGCTCTTGGGCAGGGTCACTCAGCTAGAAAATGGTGGAGCTAAGAGGAAACCTTCGCCTGTCTGGGCTCTACTGCCCCTCTGTGCCCTCTCCCCAGGGCAGGCCGAGTGGGGAGCATATCCGGGAGCTGATCCTAGCTGTCTTTTGGCAGTGCCCCGAGCCAGAAGGTTCTCATCTGGAGGAGAGGAGGATGATTTTGACCGCAGTATGCACAAGGTGAGCAGGCCACACACTGAATGAGCTGCTTAGATGGTATGGACTGAGGATTTTTTAATTTGCAAGTGACCAAATTCAAACCCATTTATGATAGAAAAAATAAATGTATAGCTTGGCATAACTGAAAAGTCAAATGATAGGATTAGCTTCAGGTATGACTTGATCCAGCTGCTCAAAAAATTGCCATAGGGAAATTGTCTTTCTCTCCTCTTGTGCTGGCTTGTCTCTGCACTGGCCTCATGTGCAGGCAGTTTCTTCTCATGTAGTGGCAAGTGGGAGCTAGAAACTCCCATGCATTGCTGGTGGGAATGAAAAGTGGTACAGCTGCTGGGGAAGACAGTTTGGCTGTTCCTCAAAAAGTTAAATGTAAAATTACCATATGACTCAGAAATTCCAGAATTGAAATGGAAAGAATTGAAAACTGGTACTCAAACAAATACATGTACACGCATGGTCATACCAGCACTATTCCTAATAGTGGAAGCAGCCCAAATGTCCATCAGCTCACAAATGGATAAGCAAAATATGGTATATCCATACAATGGAATACTATTCAGTCATAAAATGTAGCTCCATGTAGCTGATATATGCTACAGTGTGACTGAACCTCAGAAACATTATGCTCAGTGAAAGAAGCCAGACACAAAAGCCCGCATATTGTATAATTCCACTTATATGAAATATCCAGAATAGGTAAATCTGTAGAGACAGAACACAGATTGGTGATGACCAGGGGCTGGGAGGGGAGGGAAATAGGGAGTGACTGCTTAATGCATACACGGTCTTTTTGGGGGGTGGAAAAAAATGTTTTGGAACTAGGTAAAGACAGTGGTTGTACTAAATGCCACTAAATTGTTCACTTTAAAATGGTTAATTTTATGTTATGTGAATTTCACCTCAGTAAAAAATAAAATTTAAGATGGGTGCCAGCGACTCCAACAAGAGTCCTGGGAAGGCTCTCACTGTCCAGGCTGGAGCCATCTGCCCTTTGTTGAGCCCATCACTGTGGCCAGGACAATGCGATTCTGCCGTTGGCCAGGCCTGCTTTTTGTGCCCACCACCAGAGCCCCACCCAGACCACAGGACTACTTGTGACAGAGACATGAAGTCCCAAAGGAAAATATGGGTGCCGTAAGGAGGGAGGGACACGGAAGACAAAAATGACAGAGGATCACTGTGGAGAGTCTTTCCCCAGCCTGTTCCATCTCAGGGTTCTTTGCTTCCTTCTAACTTCGTCTTGCTCTTCCCTACCCCCAGCTCCAGAGCGGAATTGGCCGGCTGATTCTAAAGGAGGAGATGAAGGCCCGGTCCAGCTCCTATGCCGATCCCTGGACCCCACCCCGGAGCTCCACCAGCAGCCGGGAGGCCCTGCACACAGCTGGCTATGAGATGTCCCTCAATGGCTGTAAGCACTGCCCTGGAGGCCTACTGGCTTGGGGGCACTTTCCTCCCCACTCCTATGGATCTGAATTCCTACGGCCTCACCTGGGTTTAGAATACAGACTTGGCAAGAGGCTGTATGGTGCACTAAAGACTATGCTCTGCCCTGAGCCGTCACTTCTGCTTCTTTGGGGCATCTGAAGCTGTGACTTCCAGTCAGGTTCACTGTAAAGAAAAACATCTTCTCGTAGTCTAAATGGTTCAGAGATATAAGGGGCTGCCTCTGAGGTAGTGAGCCTCCCATCACTGGAGGTATACAAGCAGAGGCTTGGTTCAAGCGCTTTGCCCTGAGAATCTCTCATTGGAAGCTCCTCTCTGTTCCTGGACACATACATGCTCTGTCTGCCTCCTCTCTTTCTTACCCCTGTGGAAGTTAGTCCTGCCAGGAGATCCTATCTCAAGTCAAAACTTGACAGATAATAAAAAGTACCATTTATTATAACCCCATGTGCCAGGCATTTGTAGAGATATTATCACTCTTGGTCCTCACAAAGAGCTGCAATGTAGAGGGATTATTATCACCCACTTTGTAGATTAGAGACCCAAGCTTAAGCCACTTGCCCAAGGTCAGAAAGCCAGTAAGTGACAGAGCCAGGATCAGACCCAAGTCAGAGTGACTCCAAGGCCAATAGCTGTTCCATCTTTACCATACTGCACCTTGACCCTGGGTGAGATTGAAAGTGATGGTGGTGAGAATGATGAAGCCAGTTTTACTCAGTGTTTTGTAGGTGTCAGGCCCTGTGCTAACATCTTACTGTGTTCTGTCATGTATTCTGCACAATAAGCCTATAATGGAGACACGGTCCCTCCCCATTTTACAGATGAGAAAACCAAAGCATGATTAAGTAATTTCCAGAGTTAGGTGACTGCTGAGCCTGTTCCCCTGTTTGACCACTGAGAGGTGCTGTCTTCTGCCCCGGCTCTGAGCTCTCTGAGTGCACCACAGCTGCTCAAAACAGCTTCATCCAGTGGCATCTGGGCAGCAAATATCATAGAGCACCAGCTATGCACCAGGGACTGGGCTAGGAGCTGGGCGGGGGAGGGAAGATGGGGCACAGGTACAACAACTGGAAACTGACTAGTGGGAAAGGAGGTGGTGAAGGAGACCCCTCCTCCAGCCAGCCAGGGTAGCCCGGGTATGGGAGCCATGTCTTTGTCCCCATGAACTGTCCACCATGTCTTTCTGTCCCCGTGAACTGATCTCTGGCTTTTCTCTCGTGCAGCCCCTCGGTCCCACTACCTGGCTGACAGCGGTATGTTCTGCTCACCCTACCTTCAACCTATCATGTCCTGTGAGGGCCCAAGCTGAGTCAGCTGCAGGTCCCCCGTAGCTGTGATGACCATACAATGTGGATGTCCCAGCACAGTCCTGATCTCATATAGTCCACCCCATTGTGTTTGTCAGATAGTAGGCCTCAATTTTTGGTTCTGGAGCTAGGGTTGCCATGCCCAGTAGCTCCCAGAGAGAAAGAAAGAGCACGCACCTCTCCCACCCACGAGGGAAACTGCCTATCTGGGTTCTGAGCTCGACTCCGATTCCAGGGCCTTTGTCCAGAGCCACCCTGTGGCCAGGACACAGGGGTCATCATAGGAGGATAGACGTGTGCAGAGTAAGGCCAGAAGACTGTGTGAGTGGGTGCTTCAGGTGGGCATAGAATTCTAAGTGGGCCAGGGCGAGGCACCCCTAAGATGGACAGTTGCATGTCTGGAGAGCAGTGGGGGGAGCTGGTGGCCTCTGGCTGCCACCCCTTCCCCCAGGGTTGGGGAGAAATATTGGCCATTTGCAGCCAGATGACCTCAGGGAGAGGAACCCCTGGCCTGTGGCTCCTGGTAATTGTTTTGGCTCTTTCTTCTCAGATCCCCTCATCTCCAAATCTGCCTCCCTGCCTGCCTACAGAAGAAACGGGCTGCACAGGGTAAGAGAGGCAGTGCTGGGGACATTGTCCCCAAGATGGTAACAATGTCAACATCAGCTCACTGTTGTGGTGATTATAGTGGTTCCTTAGGGGTGAATCCTGGACAAATGCCTTGGGGCCAGAGGGAGGTTAACTGAAGGACCCCAAGGCAATGATTGGTCTCTTCCCCCATGAGCCCTGTGTGAAAAGGGCCCCACGGGAGGGGCTGGGGACACCGGTGGCAATTGCTCCATGCAGAGCGCTGTGCTGAGCACTTTACAAGCACCGCGCCATTTACCCTTCACAACCCTGTGACATAGTTACTATTACTCACCCCATTTTGTGGATGAAGAACTGGAGGCCCTGGGAGGTGTGGTGACTCACTCAAGCTCTCACAGCTCGTGAGTGTAGAGCCTGGATTCGAGCCCAGGCCACTGCCCCACGGCCCACACCCGAGTGCCATGTTCCACTCCCCTGACATGGTTTGTCGCCTGCTGCTCTTTACCGAATGTGACGTGAAACCTTCACAGAAGCAGGGTGGTGCTTTACAGAGTGAAAGGGAAGGAAAAACGTGCCTTGTTAGCAAGAGGAGAGGCTGTGCGACTGGACAAGTGATGGGGGAAGCAGGGACATAGAGACAGATGTTTGTTCGTGGAGCACCTCTAAGGGCCAGGCCGTGTTCTGGGTGCTGGGCTCCCGCAGAGGACAGAGTCGCTGCCCCCACGGAGCTCGCCCTCTAGCTGGGGAGACGGACAGCCAACAGGTGAATATGTGATCTGAAGTCAGGTAGTTCTGAGTGCTGGGATGGAAGACAAAGCAAGGGAATAGAGAGAGGAGGTCAGAGAGGGTGGACTTAAATAAAGGCCTGAGTGCATGGAGGGACCTCACAGCTCTGGGACCAGCAAGAGCCAACCAGACGGAGGGAAGGCCAGTGTCAATGGCCCTGGGCAGGGAGGAGGTGAAGCATGGAGATGAAACCAGACAGGGATGTCAGTAGGGCCCTGCAGGACTTTGGAGGGTTTCTGGTAGGTGTGCTGCGTGATCCCACTTGGATTTTTAATGGGATCCCTCTGGCTGTCGTGTAGAGAAGAAGCTGCAGAGAGACAGAAGTGGAAGCTATAGACCCGTTAGGAAACTATTTTAGGGTCGAGCACACAGAAGGGATCATGGTCCACTGGAGCGCTACCGCTGGTGTTAATAAGCCCCCTCCTGCTGAGGAACACACAGACCCTGTGCTGTGGACTCTCAGAGCCTCGACATTCGTTCATGGACAGATGTTCATTGAAGGCCTTTTGCATATTCTGGGCACTACTCCGGGTGCTTGGAATACATCAGGGACCACACGAGACAAAGACCCCTGCCCCTTGGAGCTTCTATTCTTGCAGGGAGAAAGCAGGTATTAAAGAATAAACGAGTCAACTTATATAGAATGTAGAAGGAAATAAGTGCTATGGAAAGAAAGGGAAAAATTGAGCAGGATAAGGGGGATTGAGAGTTTGGAGAGGGGGAGACTTGCAATTTTAAATACAGTTGCCAGGGCAGATCTCATAGAAAAAGTGCATTTGAGCAATGAAAGAAAGCATGAGATGTAATTCACAAAGACATGAACGCTTACTGAGGGCCTACTGTGTGCCGGGCCTGGGCACGAGGGATATGGCAGTGAGTTAAGTCACCCCAACTTGAGACAGCGGCTTCTGAGGGGGCCTCATGTCCCACCGGCCCCAGTCCATGTTCTGGAGATGGGTGAGTGCTTCAGGGAGGCAGCGGTGAGCTTGCTCCGGCCAACCCTGGCTCTGTCTCCTCTGCAGACACCCAGCGCGGACCTCTTCCACTATGACAGCATGAACGCCGTCAACTGGGGCATGCGAGGTGAGTGCTGGCCTCTCTTGGGACTCACAGGGACTTCGGATGCACTGCTCATAACTGCGGCCTGACCTTCCACTTGGCCCAGCGCTGGGCTCTGTCCAAGCCCCGAGTTCCCACTCCCTTTCACTTCCCATTCCCTCCCTTTTCCCCTCCTCTTCTCTCATCCTCTCAAATCCCTGGCCTTGGGTGATCTCCAGGCCATCTGTCCCATCTGGGTTCCCAGAGCCATCACAGAGTGCTGTTGTCCCGGTACTGCTGAGTTAGAACTGCCTGCCAGCCCTGAGTGGAGGGAAACACTCAGAGCCAAATGCACATTGTTCCCAGCAAAAATTCCATGAGCTTCGAACTCTCTGCCAAATGATGCTCTCCCGCCAGCCTCCTCCAACTCCTACAAGCAGGCGCAGGCAGGAGGGCAGCCCACATCAGAAACCCGGAGGATTCCCCCAGAAGATGGAGGGTCTCACCCATGTGCTTCACGATCTCAGATTCTTCTTATTTCTATTCTAAATATCTCCAAGGTCATTTTTTCCCCTAAAACCATATCTCTGGATCAGCCTGACCCCTATCTCCAGCCATCCTTTGTGCTCATACCAGCCTTAATTTGGGGTGAATTCAACAAGGACAGGTGTCTAAGACAGAGGCCAGTGTAGTGATGCAAAGCAAAGACCAATGGGTTTCCATTTGTGTATGTCTCTTTTCTTTCTACAGAGTACAAGGTAAAGAAGATCTGTAGACCTTGTGGGTCTCCAGGACCCTGGGAGCTGCTACAATGGGGACCAGCAGGAGGATGACAGCACTGTCTGTACAGGGAAGGGAACACTGATAAATAACCCCAAGGGTGCTCTCAAGACAAGCATTTCCAGTCCCTTCATGGCCCACTTTTTCTGAATCCTGCCCTACCTCTCTTGCCTCCTGAAATCAGACAGTGCCCCAGGGGCCTCAGAGACTTTCTGGAGGCTTGCCAATCACAAGATGTTAGACATTTTCCTTCAGGAGGCATCGTGCCCTCATTAATGCCAGGTGCCACCAAGTTTATCCCTAGCAGTATTAGGGAACTCTGAGGTCTTGCCTTTTGGAAGACGGTGGCTTGAGGGTGCCGGGAAACCCCAGGGAGAGCAGACTCAGTCCTTCCTCCAGACTTTAATCTCTGGCCCTTTCTGGGTAGAGAAAGGGGCCCAGACACAAAATGTGGCTAAAGAGACAGGGCTACCACCTCACCCAACATGGAAACCCCCTCATCCTTTCTCCTTAGATCTACCCTTATGAACTGCTGCTGGTGACCACAAGAGGAAGAAACCGACTGCCCAAGGATGTGGACCGGACGCGTTTAGAGGTAAGTATAGAAAACTGAGCATCAGCCTTCACGTTTGAAGGGATTCCAGAAGTTGCTGCTCTAGTCCAGCTCAGGAGGGGTGGGCGGAATGAATGGCTTTAAGGTCACACAGCTTTTGAAAAAGCAGAGACTCCAACCCAGTTTCCTTAGCCCAAGACTGTTCCATGATGGTCTGTGCTGCCTCCTCAATTCAGTTAGCATCTGTGGTGCACAGCCACACAGCATGGCCCCACCGGGGGCTGGTGCTTCTGCAGGAAAGCTAGACTTGGTCCCTGCCCTCAAGGGGTGTGCAGTCTGGTTGATAAGAAGAAATGCAGCACTGGTTTTACGCAGGACTATATAGAAAACCAGTGCTTGTGACGGGAGGTTGGGGGACAGCACTGTGCAGAGGGTAAACACATAAGGAAGTCTCGAGTCAGACTCCCCAGCCTCCAGCCCTGATCCCGCCAGGCCTAGGTGGGCAGCTTGGCCACATGACAACCTCTCTAAATCTTAGTTTTCTCCTTGGTAAACTGGGGGTGATTGTTGTGCTTCCCTCAAGTTGCCAAGTGACATAAATGAGACAATACACAAAGAGCCTGTGGCACGAATTCTGGCAGTGAACTGAGTAGTAAGTACTCCACAGATGTTCGATTGCTGTTATTCAGAGAAGACCACTAAGGCTGGGTTGGTTGACATAGGCTTCCAGCAAGAGGAAGGATTGGGATGGACTTTGAAGGTGGGCAGGTCTGGATGGATGGAGAGAGGGAGGAAAGCATCCTGAGCAGTGGGAACAGCATCAACAAAGGCACAGAGGTGGCCTGAGTATGGCACTGGGCTCTCGAGCAGTCCAGTCCACTGGGTGTAGAGTCCCAGTCCCTGGTCACCTCTGATCTAGGAGAACCCTCTGCCCTTTCCACCCCAGTGCATCTCCCTACCTCTCCCTTCCCATCTCTCCAGCCACCTACTCCTCAGAGCCCCATTCTAGTGATGGCTGTACCCCAAAGCCCCCTAACCCCTCCCAGGAAGGTGTTGCTCACCTCTTCTTCCAACCTCCCCCAGCCCTGTGTCCAGAGTGCAGATCAAGCACCTCTCCCTCTCCTTTGTATCAGATCATTGAGCTATCCATCACCTCTGCCTGACAAAGACTGTCTGTCATCTGCCACAGGGCCTAGACTAGGAAAGGTGTCAGGAAATGTTTGGCTTCTAAAAGAGGAGGCTCAGCACTCTTTGGGAAGAGCATATCACCCACCCTTGACCTGACTGCTGAAGAATTCACCCAGAGTAAAAGGTTGGGGCATTAGGAGGAAAATGCAAGCAGGCCGGGAAGCTCTGCAAGTCTTTCCAGCTCTAGCATGCTGGGTTAGCAGCCAAGCAAGCAGATGATTCTCCGCACGTTTATAACAAGGGCCTCATTTACTGTCTGGCAGTGAGTGTCTGCCGGTGCTGAAGGACAGCTCCCACGGCAGCTCAGTGGAGCCAGCATTGAGAGACAGAAATGTTCAGGAATGTGGTTCGTCCTGGAGGACAAATTGCTCCCCTACATCCTCTAGGACATTCAGACCTGGGAAGCTCAACCTTCCCTAAGCATCAGAATCACCCAGGGAGCTTTTTAGAAATATCAATACAGGGTTTCACCCTAGACCAATTAAATCACAATCTGGGGAAGGAGCTCAGGCATCAGTATTTTTCAGAGGCTCCTAGGATGTCTGACGTGCAGCCTGAGCTGAGACCACAGGGCTAGAGACACTGCCCTAGCCCCCTGCACCAGTTCAAGAAGGGACTGAAGAAGGAAGACCCTGACTCTGTCCTCAAGGAGCTCATAGTGTAGATATGCATTCATCCAATAAATATGTATTGAAAGCCTGTTATATATACCAGGTACTGTTCTAGGGGCTTTCAGTATATCAGCGAACAAAACAAGGACCCCCACCCTCTTGGAGCTGGCATTCTTGTGTGAGGAACGAGACAGTAAACAACACACATGATAAATAAATGATACAGTACACTGGAAGGTAAGAGGGCTAAGGGAAAAACTGAAAGGAGAGCAGAGTGAGAGGAAGTGGGAGTGGGGGGTGAGTTGCAGTTTTAAATGGGGTGGTCAGAGTAGACCTCATTGAAAACGTGACATGTGAGCAAAGACTTGAAGTAGGTGAGGAGTTAGCCGTACTTATAGAAGGAGGAAGAGCACCGGGAAGAGGGAACAGCCACTGCCAAGGACGCAGGAATGAGCCTGGTATGCTTGAGGATGGCAGGGTGAGTGTGGCTGGGGTCAGACGAGCACAGGAGAAGATGAGGAGGAGAGGAAGTCAAAGGAAACAGAGACCAATCACAGACACTATGTCACGCTATGTGATAGATACACGAAGAAATCATTGCAATAGTGAGAGCGACCCACGACTGAGGGCTTCTCATGTGCCAGCCGCTGTACGAGCACATGACCTGTATCATCTCATTCACCCTCACAGTATCCACGAGGTAGGTACTGGGATGCTCCCTCTTTCCAGAAGAGGAAATTGAGGCTCAGTGAGGTGAAGTAACTTGCTCAAGGTCACACAACCATATCTGCCTGGCTCTAAAGCCTGTGCACTTAACTTTTATGCTTTCAAGTCTGTGGTGAATGTCAAGTGGACAGGGCTGGCATTAGATGCTCTGAGAACTCGCAGAAGAAGGGGAGCTCCAGCTGGCCCTTCACGGAGGGAGAGAAGGAAAGCTTCAGTCTCCTTTAGTGGTCTACTGTGGACACTTTACTGAGTCGAGTCTGCCATTCCTTTACATTGAGCCTCGTAAAAAAGATTTTTAAACACAATAGAGAAAACCACCTAGAGAATCCATAGTAACTACCACCCTCCAACAACAAAAAAAAATTATCCAAATTATTTTTCAGCATTCACTTAAAATAAAACAAATATGGATGAGTCAATAGCATGATCTGTCTGGACTGGCGGAGACTTACAGGGTCTGGCAATCAAATGTGATGTGTGGATGCTGTGTGAATCCTTATTGAAACAACCCACCTGTAAAAAGACATTTTTGAGACGGAGGAATTTTATTGTGGATGGATATTAGGTAATTCTGAGGAATTACTGTCATTTTTTCTTAGGTTTTCTCCTGGCGTGGTGGTTATGTGAGAAAATATCCAGTGTATTTTGAGATGCATACTGAAGGACATAGGAATGAATTGACACAATGTCTAGGTTTGCCTTAAAACACTTCAGCAAAGGAAATAGGTGAAGCAAATGTGGCAAACTCTTGATAATTATTGAACCTGGGTAATGGGCATGGGTGTGCATTGTACTATTTTCTCTCTTTTGTGTGTTTTTGAAATTTTTCATATTAGTAAGATTTATTTATGAATTTCTAATGGAGTTGACCAAGAGGGGCAGTGGGAGTGCACTGCGTTTGGAATCAGAAGGCCTGGACTTTGGCCTCAGCTCTGCTACTTACCCCACCTCCTTCCCTCCCTCCTGTCCTCCCTCTTGGTCAAGTAAGTCATTTTAATTCTCTGACTTGAGGTTTTCTCCTCTTTCAATTGGATAGAAATAATTCCCAGTTTTCAGGGTGACTGGAAGAATTAAATGAGAAAAATAAGGATGAATAGCACAGTTATATGCTATTGAGCATAACACAAATGCAATGTAAGGAACTGTTGATGTTATTAAATACTGTTCAGTATTGAAAAATCAACTCAAAGTCACCAGCAGCCAGTGATATCTATCAAAAGTATCAAAGTTATCTTTGCTTGAAGTTCAGGAAATGTGGCTAAAATATTAGTTCCTGGTAATAGTGGGCCAGAGAATTGGTTAATTATTGTGTGGCTGTATACATAATTCTCACTGAATCTCCTTCAATACCCAGCTAGCTCATATAATTGCTACCAACAGGTCATCTCAATGATTCCAGTAAGTTTTCAGGCAGGATATATGCCATATATTTCTCTCTTTAAACATAATTTTAAATTTCCTTTTGAAAATTTTTCAGACCTCCAGAAAAGTTGCAAGAATAGTAAAATGAACATCCATCTACCCTTCACCTAAACACACCAATTGTTAACATTTTGGCACATTTTAAGTCCCATATATTTCTAACTCTAAAAGCTTTTGACAATGTATCAACTTTCAAGGCTGCTTGGAAGGGAGGGAGGGGAGGCAGGAGGGAGGGCAGGCAGATGGGGGTTTAAAAAACCTGCCATGGAATTCAGAACAATGTTTTATTCTATAACATATTTGTTTTCCTATAAGAAAGAGATGAAAGGACATTTCAGTGGATGGAGAAATATAAACAGTAATTTTTTTTTCATTGACTGGCCTGAGGAACAGCCTTCCAGATCATTTGTAAGAATATTAATAAGAGAAAGTACACCCTAAAATCTTGGACATGCCTCCTTTTTCTTCCAAAGGATAGAGGGCTAGCTTAATCCATAGACACCCCTGGACAGAGAATTCATGGAGCAGGGATGCAGAAGGGTGCGGTCAACCAGGATGCATCAAGGGGCACTTAGGTGAAGCAGAAGTCCCACCTGAATCTTGGGCAGAGGCGGCCTCTCCAACCAGAACAGCTACAGAGGCCCGTCCGAGAAAACACTCATTCACACATTCATCCGTTCAACAAATATTCATCACACACCTTCCGTGGGTCAGATTCTGTTCCAGGCACAGGGTGCCCAGAGGAAACATACAGGGACCGCTCCTGCCTCCACCTGCCCCCAGCCTACACCTCACGTCCTCAAGCTGTTCCCTCTCTGTCCCCTCCCATCTCCTTTCAGCGCCACCTGTCCCAGGAAGAATTCTACCAAGTCTTCGGCATGACCATCTCCGAGTTTGACCGGCTGGCCCTCTGGAAGAGGAATGAACTGAAGAAGCAAGCCCGGCTGTTCTAGGCAGAGGCTCTATAAATATATATGCATTTATATAAAGATATATGTAAAATCTCTATACTGAAGCTCCGTATAATCCTCTCTTGTGGAATGGGGCACACTGCCTGCCATGAAACGTCCTTTTCTGTACTGTCAGGCAAGCCCACGTCATTGAGATATTTTTATGCTCCTTACTTTCTCTTTTCTAAGTGCAATGGGGTTTGGGAAGGGATTTGAGGGGACTCCCATCCTTTTACTGGTGGACCCTTTTTATACTGAAACATCTGTCCTAACTTGAGTCCCCCAAGTTCCAACTCTCCTTCCTAGAGGAGGTGCCTGCAGAAGTCTCTCTTCTCTCTGCTCCTTGGCTCTTTTCCCCAGCTGACCATGCAGCTTTCACACCTTACTGGCCCCAGAGGGGCCCCCCATGGGAGGATCCACAGTGGTCCCCCAAAGTCACAGAGCACCCTTGAGAACCCTGAAGAGTTTTCTCATCACCCGCATTTAGGAGCTCGGTGCTCTCTGCGGGCAACGCGGTTGGAAGTGTGGGCCTCAGATCTACTGGTTATAGCAGTAAACAGAAGTGGATAGGACCTTGGCCTCTCCTCAGCTCTTCAACCCTCCTCCTTCTGCCCTTGATCCGAACCTCTCTCTGGTCCAAATCTGCGACTCATGGTAGGAAAAGAAAAGGCACTTCCCTTCCCTCTACCACTTCAACCGCCCCCTAGCCCTGACTGGAGAACCGGAGGGAAGGAGTTGAAGCTGGGAGCAGGAGACAGAGCAGGGCATCTGTTAGAATTGGAGCTGTGGGACCTCTGAGGACTCTCCACTCACCCTCACTGCTCCCAGCACCTCCTGACCCTTCCCCTTTGTAGGAGAGGCCCATGATTGCACCGGTATTCTTCAGCCTTACTACAATCTATGTGCCTGACAACTCAACACACCACAGGGCTAGCGTTCCCATCACAGCTCACCTGAACAACTGGACAGGTGACCTCTAACACTCTTCTAAAGCTGATATCGACCACGTCCCAGAGAAAGGTTCTCAGTCTATACCTGCTGGTCCCTGGGCTGTCAGGGCCTTCCAACCAGACCCCCACCAGTCCGACTCCCACTGCAAAGTTGGCCATGTTTCATGGGGGAAACTTCGGAAGAATGGCTGCTTATGAGATTCCAAAATGAAGCATTGGCCAACACTGTTCATGATCATCCTGGATCTCCCCAGAGGCTGCCTGTCCTGCCTCCTTGCCTTCTGGAACAGAGGTTAAAGCGCAACCTTTTCTCCTCCCCTCTCTAACCTTTGGCCCTGAGTTGCTGTTGTCTGGTGGGGTCTGTTTCTTCTTGGAGATGCCTTGAGTCAGACCATTTTGAGGTCATGGAGGAACGACGAAGAAGTGGAAATGACAGTTATGTCTCTCAAGAGGCTGGGGATGTGACGTGGCAAATGTAGAACTGACTTCAACGAACCCTCACTAAGCACCTGCTGACGCTGAGCACCTGCTGTATACTGAGCACTGAATGGGGGAGGGAGATGGGAACACAGGGACGATCAACATGAGCCGGTCTAGGGGGCATGCCTGCTAATAATGGGTATCAGAAGGCATGTCCCCAAACAGGATGGATGTAAGGCAGAAAGTGATAGGAGATGGCGTGAGAAAGTGTTTGTGACATTACTGAAAAGGCATATGCAGTCGGTGCAGACCAAGGAAAGCTTTCTGGAAGAGATTGCATTTGAGCAAAATTCAGGACAGATCTTTGTAAACTGGGAGAAGACTGTAACTTGAAAGGGTAATAGGATGAGGGGCCGGAAGGGAGGTCTAGGATGCTCTCATTTAAAATGTCAAACCTCTCTGCCACTTCTCTTTTTGGCCAATGTCTTTCAACTGTCCTAACCCTTTAGAAGTGTCCCCAGCCAGATGCAATCATAGAAACTGCCTCATTATCACTGGTTGAGAACTTGGCGAGATTGAAGGGCTTTTGTTATTGTTGTTGGATATTTTTGTTTCCCATAAAAGCACATAATTTCAACCCAGACCTGTGTTCTTCTGTTGTGTCTAGTGTGAGTGGAAATGAGTGACATGGGAGGAGGCTGAACCATGCACATTTTTCAAAATAAAAGAGACTAGAGAGCAGCTCTCTCTTGGCCTCAGTTTCTCATTCTGTAAAATAAGAAAGTTTGATGAGGTAAGCATTACCCAGATTGTTTCCTGCAGAATGCAGGGGCCTGCAAGATGGCAGAGGGTGTTCCAGCAACAAATAAGATTCTGTGATCAAAAAATAACAACAATAATGATAATAGTTTCTCGTTATTAAGTACCAATAGTGTGTCAAGTTCTATGCTGAGGGCTTTACACCCACCATCTTATTGAAGCCTCTGTAACAACCCGAGAGGTAGCCATTATTCTTATCTCCTTCTCACAGAGGAGGAGACAGCTTTGAAGAAGACACATAATTACCACGGTGGAGCCAGGAGCCAATTCCAGCCTGTCTGACTTTCAGCTGCAAGTATAGAGCACCTTCTTAAAAGAGGCTTCAGCAATGAGAGCACAGATTGTCTTGCACAATCAGAAGTCCAAGTGCAGTGTAGTCAATTCAGTAGCTCAGGGATGCCATCAGGAGCCCAGGTTCTGCATCTCTTCACTCTGCCACCCTCAGCACGTTGGCTTTTGTCCTCAGACGCGTCCCCTCATGTTTACAAGAAGCTGCTGTGGCTCCAGGCATCATGTCTTCACACAACCACGTGGAAAAAACAGGAAAGAAATTTCCTTCTGTGTGTCTCTTTTAATCAGAGAAACTTTCCCAGAAGCCCTCAGTAGACTTCTCAGGTTCTACTGGCAAAAGTAGGGAATAGGCCCAGGCTGCAAAGAATGCTGGGAAATCGAGTATTTGGCACTTTCAGCCTCGCTAGTGAGAGGCTGGCACTCTGGTGACAAAAAAGAGAGATGGGGCAGATAAGGAATGGCCTCTGGGTGAGTGAATCACAGCGTCTCTGCTACAGCCACTGTGCCAATAAAAAGCATATTATGTCCCTCCCCTTAGAGACTCAAGGCACCTCGCCAAAAGTCCTGCAGAGTCCTACAGGACCTGCATTTAATCCAATGTCTCATAAACTAACTTGACATAACTCTGTTTGAGAAATGTTAGACTTACTGTATTTCATCTATTCTTAGACACTTTTTTTCACATTTTGACATCTCTAAAGATGAGATGTGGCTTAAAAGTAGCTCCTTTCCTGACCTCTCATTCTATGATTCTTTAAAAATAACCAATTCTATCATCCCCACCACAGCCCCTCCAGACAGGTGGCTCAAGTGTGCAAAAGGATACTCCAGATGTTCCTTTGCTCCCTCCCTCCACAAGCACCCAACAAATATTTACTTATTGAGCATCTGCTGCCAGGCAGGAGCACTGAGGATACAAGAGTGTGCAAGGCAGGTATGAGCTCTCATGTAGCTCTGGTCTAGAGGAGGAAACAGATTGTAAATAAGTAAACAGGAAAAGAGATGGCACACGAAGATAACTGCTCAGAGACAACAAACAGGTACCAGAGAGAGGAGCAGAAAGGAAGTTACTTCATACATTTACTGAAAGATGAAAACAAAGCCCCCACAGGAAAAGTGGGGGGGGGGTGGGAGCATTCTGGGCACAGAGAACAGCATATGCAAAGGCACTGGGATGGGTAAGAGCTTGGTATATTTGAGGAACTAAAAGTGCCTGTGGGGACAGAGTGGAGCAAATGAAGGGGAGAATGAGATTATAAGAGGTGGGGAGGCAGTCAGGGGCCAGAACATGCAGAGCGTCTAGAAGGACACCTCTCATTCATTCAGGCTTTGCGGAGATTGGCTTGCACTTGCTTGTTAACCTACTGGAAGCAGGGAGAATTGTTCCAAGGCTTGCTGCTCGAAATGTGGTCCCTAACCAGCAGCATTGGAGTCACCAGCGAGCTTGTGAGGAATGCAAAATCTCAGGCCCAACTCCCAACCTACTCAATTCGCATCTGTATTTTAATAAGACCCCCATGTGATTCACACACAGTGAAGTTTGAGAAGCACTGCTCTAAACCGTCTTCCTTTTACGGAGAGACACAACAACATTTGTGTCAGACTTTCTGAAGTTCTAGAAGGGAGCCTTTTCCTCATGCATGTAACCTCTTTGGACACTGGAGGGCAACCTTACATTAATAAGGCAGAACACAACTTGGGGGCAACAGAAATCACAAAAGGTTAGAGCTTAAAGCCAATACAATGACCATATTTCACAGCCACGGAAAGAGGCCCACGGAGGGTTTGAGAAGATCAGGACAAGCAGCCAGCTCCCCGGGAGCCACTCGTGCTCACCAGGCTGGTGTGGAAGCATGGGGACTGGCTGTGGATGGTGTCAGTGGCTACAGCTGGCCACTGAACAGAGCCCAGTGTGGAGTAGAAGGGCTTAAATTCAAGGGAAACAAAAGCACTGCTGAAATTCATAGCAATTAACATCGCAGAATTATGCCAACTCCGTTAATGCCCCACGTGGAATTAAGTTTTAAATGCTTCATTCCACATCAGACTTCGAGTTGCTAAAAATCTCGACCACAGAGTGATAAACACCTGCTTACATACACAGCCACAAGCTGCTGCCAAGTCATTCGGAAGCCCTGCAGCGAGACTGTGAATAAATAAAATCCAGAACCATGATGACAAGGCCAGCCTCTCGTTACCACCCAAGAGCCCACTTGGCTCTTCACCTGGCGGGGTCCAGTCGGCACAGGGGCCCAGGCAGGAGAAACCAGAGGCCTGCAGTCATCCCCAGGCTTAATCCTCAGGGCAAATTAGATCCAAGTGTGCAGATGAATCAGGTCAAGTAGTGAGGTGACATCTATGCCCGTGACCTTCTGGGGAGGGGAACTATCCCAGTGTTTCCCAAATTTCAGTCACTCCAACACCACCCTCACAATTTTCCTCAGATGATTATTTACTTAATGCTATTTACATGATATTTTTCTTTCAATTGACTCATACCCGACATTTCTATCTTAAGCAATATTAGTGAAATTATGAGTTCATAAGGACCGATTATATGCTGTTAATACAAATTCAAATAAATTCATCACTCTGCAAATATGTTGGTCTGTGTAACATCTAAACGTATCTCACATTTTCACCAATACTCTGAGTTCCACACTTTGAGAAACACTGTTCTCTTTGACGGAAGTGGGAGGAGAGAAAGCGACGTGTATTCCCTTGGTTTCTTCACGATGACTGGTCTTTGGGGAGCCAAAGGGAAAATGATCTGAATATGCTGCAGAGAGAAGAGAACACAAGCTACTTTGACAATCAAGCAGGACCTGATTAAGCCCCACCCTCCTCAGAGCCAAGACTCTCATCTCCCGCCACTGGTTCCCAGAGCATGGTGCCAGCGGGGAGTCCTCGCCAAGGTTTTCATTGGATAGTGTCTTCCCCAGCTGCTCTGGTTTTGAAGACTTTGCCTTCATGGGCACCGCCATGAGCTGCAGCAGGGACCTTATAGCACCATGGCCAACTCAGCCTCCCAGCCTCAGTACAAATCTCAGCCTCACCATTTACCCGGCGTGGGTTATGAGCTGAATTGTGTCCCCCAAGACTTAACGTGTTGAAGCCTTAACCCCAGTACCTCGGAATGTGGCTGTATGTAGAGACAGGGCCTTGAAAGCGGTGATTAAGTTAAAATGAGACCATTAGGATGGATCCTTATCCAATCTGACTGGTGTCCTTATAAGAGGAGATGAGGACATACAGAGAGACCCCAGAGATGCAGGTGCACAGAGGACAAATCATGTGAAGGGGTAGCAAGAGAGTGGCCATCTGCAAGCCAAGAGGAGGAGCCTCAGAGGAAACCAGCCCTGCTGGCACCTTGATCTTGGACTTCCAGCCTCCTGACCTAAGAAAATAAATATCTGTCGTTGAAGCCACCCAGTCTGTGGTATTTTGTCAGGCAGCCCTAACAAATAAATACACCACGTGAAATTACACTTGCGAGATAGGACTAAGAGCACTTACTTCATAGGGTGGTGAGGACTGAATGATGTGCTCCAGCGACAGTCCCGGCTGCAGGGCAAGTGTGCATGTGACGGCTCAGCATCTCCCTGGTTCTTAGATCAGGTGGTTTACCCAGACTGTGAGTGCCCCCGCTGGGCCGGGCTGGAACTGCAGGGAGGGAGGCATGACTTTTTCACCTGGAATCTCCACCTGTCACGGCGTGCAGGCCTGGAGCTGAGCGGTCTTTGCTGCAGACCGGAAGAGACCATGTGACGATGAAGACTAAACAGAGGAAGGCAGAGTCGGGAGGTGGAGAGAATGTAGCGACTGCTCTGTTTGCATTCCTGGATCTGAGCTTGCCTTGAAGACAGCTTCACCTCTTCAGCTCCCCGGTTACCCTCTGAGTGAAGAAATTCTCTTTTTGGTTTAAGCTGGTTTGAGTTGTTTTTCTGTCACTTGCCACCAAAAGAGTTGTGACAAAGACACTGGCTCCCAGAGTGAATTGATATTGACGGTGGAGTCTCGAATGTGTACCTTTGCTGTCTGTGTGAGGGAGAGTGATCACAGTTTAATAGTGCAAGCGTCTGCTCCCGAAGGAGCATGCAATGGGACGTGGGACTCACTAGGGAAGCAGAGTGAACACACATGAAAGGGTCAAAGCTTGCCTCGGGCAGTCACAGAAAAGTGCTTGTAGGGCCTGGACCAAGGGCCTTCTTGTTTCCACAGCCCTCTTGTGGATAAAGAATTTATTGTTCTACAAAAGAAATGTGACTGCCTTGGTAACACACAGGGTCTTGTCCACCTGAATCAGAAGAAATTATCCCAAGCAATTTGTCCTTCTGACAAAATAACAGCACTATTTAATTTTTTAAATGTACAAACAAAACGCCACCTCTTAACAGACGCTGTGGGTAAGAGGAGCTGGAAGCTGGATGGTCCTCATATCCGAGAGTGTCAGGTGTTCCTGCCGGGAGGAAGGAACCTGGCAGAATGTATCACACGTCCAATGGTTTGATTTACATAAAATGCCCTGCA